TCCAGATATACCATTTCAGTCAATTTGTAATTGGATTGAACCCCGTCACCTGCGGACACCGTCTATATATCTAACCTCAAAGCAACCAAGGACTCAGGTAGCTAATCTAATTACTCGGTAAAACCAACAAATTACCAACCCAATATCCTTACTAATACAATCAGTAGGTATCAAAGAAGTGACATTCTTGTCGCTTAATATCTGATCCAGCCCGGGATGTGTAGACTTAGGACCAGCTTAAACATATCTAATAGGATAGAGTCAATAATTAAATGTAATTCTAAGTGTGTGTACATGATATCATTGGACTTTGTCACAAACCTAGAAATGTTTCCAATGGATATTAATAAAAGTTTAAATTTAATATAAGAAAGATTTATGATTCCAGGGTCAGATTACAACGTTCTCTTAGTGCTTGTGAAATTGTCCTAAACTGCACTATATCTATAGTGTAATATCAGATGACACAGTTTATTCCACATTATCAACGGTTGAATCATATTCACGTAGAGACGACATTGAAAATAATCTCTGTATGACGTCATTGAAGTACTAACGGTACGATGCTCTTTGTCAATTACAATTTATTTTGGGGGAAGGAGAGTTTTTTTCGTGCTAATTGATAAAAAAACCCTATAATTTCGTATCTAATATACCGATAAAGAACTTTTGTTTCGTTAAATGAGACGAAGCCGAGGTCACTTTTCAATTCCATATAACACATATTCATCGGATTATATGTCTGTAATTGTTATATTATACAATTATGGACATTTTTATGGTAAATATGATGTGATTTATGAATTTTAACAGTCTGGATTCGCCTCGGTTAATATACCTTTTTAGGTTAATATCACATCATATTTACAATTAAAATGTCTTTTTTATATTAAATATCCCTCAACTATAAGTCAAACAATCTATCTTACAGATTATAAGAGGTATTCTCAACAGTAGAACGGACCAGGATATAATATTTAAATGTTAAAGGATTGCCAAACATTTAATAAAGCGTTCCAATATTTATTTAACAACTGATCATCAGTCGTAAAGTGTAGGGAATCCCCCTAAAGGGACTTTATTTTAAAAAATGATATTCACCGGAAAACCAGTCTTCAAGAGTTTTTGAGAACTGAGCACGTGTTTAGAATCCAGTCAATGGGATCGTGAACAATTTTCAAGCATAATAAGTGGTTGCATATTTTATACCATTAAAATACACATTTCAATTATTGTATTTACGTTAAAACAACAAAGACAACATTCATATAATATCGTCCTTAGAGGCCTCATTTGGTTAAACATTTATTTCAAACGAGCTCTTTTACCATTTTGTAGCAAAAAAAAACGTATTTTTTATGGCTACCAGTTCCGTAGAACGACGAACGTCAATTCCGTCTTTGCATATTGCAGAGTTATCTTCTCTTGGGAACAGATATTGATTGTTACGTCATTGGTCTGTGTGAGAAAATTACGTCGTTTTCTCAAAAATTGATGACGTTTCTCTCACAAACAAGTGACGTAACAATCAATACCTGCTCCCAAGAGAAGATAACTCTGCAATACGCAAAGACGGAATAAGAAACATTTCGGGAATTTCAGCCCTAGTTTGAAATCTGACGTCACGTCATGATTATTCATTATGATGGTAGACTTATTTAAAGGCTACAAACGAAATGTAACTTTTAATAAAAACGGAATTATTTTGAATATCTTATATAATATATTTCGGTAGATATCTAGTGATAAATATGGACCTGAAAAGTAGCATTAACTTCCAAATCGTCTTGGTTGATATCTCTTTCTCATGGTTTAGAACATAATAAAATAAATCATATATGCGGAACGCTCTTATAATATCAGGAATAACCCTGCCTTGACCAAAACCATACAAGCGATACGTAAGAAAACGTTTAAGAAATATTGCATGGGGTTCATATGTGTTCTGTTCATTCTACAAAGTCGACCATAAAACAGAAATGTCCTCGTATTATTATTGGATTCAATAGATGTCCATCTAATTAATGAGGTAGCCATCTCGGTTCCAGTTCTAACAATGAAACCTTGAATATAGTCCATGGTAAAGTTTTGAACACGTTCCAGTTCAAATCTTCTGTTATAGATAGTTGCCATATAAAGTAAACGGAAACACTTTTGCCTTAATTGTTTTGCCCACAGTCAATGAATAGGAGTTTTAGGGTGATCACAAGACCATATAAGAACCAAGGTACCACCTTTTAATTTTCTACAAGCTGTGTCTATACTATACTGATAGCCAACATGGTCAATATTTTCAACAACTGGTGAAGATTTTCCTTATGCGTTCTGTCCTTAGTAAAGACAACAATTTTATAATAATTCGGTGCTAGTGGACTAGCCCGAGTTTCCTCTGGCCCTGACACCAGACTCAGACATTTTGACAGACCGATGTCTGGTGTAGTCCGAGTTTTCGCTGGCCCTGACACCAAACTTAGACATTTTGACAGATAGATTGTGGTAAGTCCGAGTTTCCTCTGCCCCTGACACCAGACTTAGACATTTTGACAGATAGATGTCTGGTAGGTACGAGTTTCCTCTGGCCCTGACACCAAACTTAGACATTTTGACAGATATATTGTGGTAAGTTCGAATTTCCTCTGACATAAACACCAGTCTTAGACATTTTGACAGATTTATGTGTGGTTAGGCGAGTTTCCACTGGCCCTGACACCAGTCTTAGTCATTTTGACAGATTGATGTGTGGTAAGTCCGAGTTTCCTCTGGCCCTGACACCAGACTTAGACATTTTGACAGATAGATTGTGGTAAGTCCGTGTTTCCTCTGGCCCTGACACCAATTTTAGTCATTTTGACAGATAAATGTCTAGTGGAGTCTTGCTCGAGTTTCCTCTGGCCCTGACACCAAACTTAGACATTTTGACAGATATATTGTGGTTAGTTCGAATTTCCTCTGACATAAACACCAGTCTTAGACATTTTGACAGATTTATGTGTGGTTAGGCGAGTTTCCACTGGCCCTGACACCAGTCTTAGTCATTTTGACAGATTGATGTGTGGTAAGTCCGAGTTTCCTCTGGCCCTGACACCAGACTTAGACATTTTGACAGATAGATTGTGGTAAGTCCGAGTTTCCTCTGGCCCTTACACCAGACTTGTACATTTTGACTGATAGATTTGTGGTTAGCCCGTGTTTCCTCTGGCCCCGACACCAGACTTAGACATTTTGACAGATAGATGTGTGGTGGAGTCTAGCCCGAGTTGCCTTTGACCCTGACACCAAACTTAGACATTTTGACAGATAGATTGTGGTAAGTCCGAGTTTCCTCTGGCCCTGACACCAGACTTAGACATTTTGACAGACAGATTGTGGTAAGTTCGAATTTCCTCTGACATATACACCAGTCTTAGACATTTTGACAGATTGATGTGGAGTCTAGCCCGAGTTTCCTCTAGCCCCGACACCAGTCTTAGACATTTTGACAGATAAATGTCTGGTGGAGTCTAGCCCGAGTTTCCTCTGGCCCTGACACCAGTCTTAGACATTTTGACAGATAAATATCTGGTGTAGTCTAGCCCGAGTTTCCTCTGGCCCTGACACCAGTCTTAGACATTTTGACAGCCCGATGTCTGGTGTGGGGCCAGAGCGCACTTTTGTATGAAAACATGGAATTCTCCCACAAACCTCTTTCTCTGATAATTCATACACCTACTAAACACTACCTATTACATATTTCATCACAGTATGTCAGCTTTGTTTTGAATCTGACAATAAGAAACATTCAAGAAATTGAAATGCAAATAAAAAATCAACTTTAAAGGAAATGAGTCACTGTGACCTACTTTTTAGTTATTGACCGACTTTTTCATTGATACTTCAACGTGATCATTGTTTGATGAGGTCTGCAGCGTTATCAAGTTACTAGGGTGTCGACACGTGCAGGTTAATTTCAAAGTTAATTTTGAATTTCATGTGTATATATCATCATTATTGTTTTAAGAGAGAAGATGATTTTTTTTAATATGTGTCTAATTTCAAAATAAAATATGTTTAAATCAATTTCTCAAAGATAATCCCCCACCTTATAAAATTGTTCACAAAACTGCACTCCTTGTTAAAAAAAGCTAAAAGCTTGAGCCTTGAAATAGATAAAATGTCATCTCCCAATTTGTCCCCACCCCCCACCCCGTGTATCGCAAGGGGTCAAACGGGCTTGATTTAACATAACATTTTATATAGGTCCGACCCAATCATTGAAAGGTTTCAGCAAAGTAAATGCTAGCAGGTGAGGGGCCGTTCATATGGCTCACATCCCTTTAATTTTTATCAAATAGTAATTCAAGGCTGCTGACTTTATCCACGGAGATATATTGTTATCTAGGTCTGTGCCTTATATAATAATGCTTTACAAATTACTGTTGGAAGGATCGAAGTGTTAGTGTTGTCATAACTTTAAAGTAGGTGCATTACACTCGCTCACGTTAGTTTACGTCATTTGAAGTCTCGTTCCGCCTTACACGTTCTGTAATATATACACACAATACGCCGAACGTAAACATATGTTTTTCACTGTGACCTCATTTTTCATTTATAGAAAAGATATAGTGAATTAATTTCCGTGTAGCTCAATGTTGTAATGATCTATTTTAAGACTGGAAATAACGCTAATGCCTTTCGAATTTCCCGACATAATTCGACGAGAAAAGTACTCTTTGTCATGGACTTCTAATATATTTTCGTGGCTTTGTAGAGCAGACATTTTTGATACCTCGGTAAATACATGTAGCGAATAGCATAACACTCTTTTTGAACATTACAGGTAAATCTGGTAATAGAAGGTGTTAGCTGTTCACCGTTTCCCCCTTGAGGCCTCACGTTTATTTATAGCACCAGAGGAAGCATAGCATTGTTTATAGAATAGAACGAATTTGGTTGGACAACGTCATTTATGAATGTCAATGAGGGGATTTCCCTAATGACGATTTTCTCCACGTGACCTCTAATTGAACCAATCGCTAACTATATCCGGGTGTCATTTCGCAGGTTGACAAGACGAAGGAAGACACACTTCTCATCTCACTAACTAAAGCACAATTTTAATATAATAGCGAAGATGACTGGAATCAAAGAAAGAGCGACAAATACTGCTGTTGAAGAGAAACAAGGCAAAGCAGAAATGGCTCCGGACATGTCGTCTAAATACGAAAATGGTAAGTGTATAATATTTGTATCGCCGCAGGCTAAATTGTCTTTTGTCACAAAATGGTCTCGCAGTGTTCTCTCGTAGACCTCAGGCGTTAGGAGTAATCGTTAAGATGCTTGAATGTTGATGTTATGATACATTACCTGGTGTTAATATTCGATTGCCAAATGATTCAGCATAGAAAATATGGGAAACCAAAATGTCCGTAGCCGTTAACAATGTCGCGCGATCGGCGACGACTGTACACGACGTCGTGCTGTCAGGCTGAGTTTAGGCTGACTTGATGGTAGATTATATTTTTGTCAAGTCTCTATGCTAATTTGTATCATCGTGTTTTATATGTCGAAGTTCAGCGGTAGTGTCATCGCGCACAGCTGTTTATGACAATAATAGCATGATGTGATAAAAGCTTAATTTAACAGGTATATCTGTATATACTATAAAACAGGTGTTTAAATTATGCAAATATAATGCGTTAATTATAACATGCCGTCTCTCATTGGAATATGAAACTCACACTTACCAAGATCATAAAATGTGTATCTACATACGTTATATACAGCCTAGCTAGAGCTGCCATGCAGTTGAATATGATTACTAATTACTTATCTCAAATATATTTAATTTTTTACATTTAATTATAGCACTGTTGATTTTAAATACATGAACATGACATTATAACCCATAGTTATGGATCCAGGTCTTTTCTCCCTAAATCCCGTTAACCCAAGGTTAATTGTTTCGCCCTAATATGAATAACAGTTGAAATGTTTTTGATATTGAAAAGCACCTTAATTCTTCGTGTTTCACGAACAATTATACTGTCTGTAGAATTTCATGTTATTGTATGCTACATTGTGTAGATCTGGTTGACTTGATACAAATTTAACAAGTCTAATGACAAAAGAGACTTAGGAAAACTTAAATGAGACTGTATTAGGCCCCACACAACTAAACAACACTAACCAAATTTTGTCCTAAAATTATTTCTGGGGTGAAACCACTTGGTGCCAAATAACTAAGGGCGAACAGGATTTAGTTCCTAAGGACCTGACACCGGATTTACTGGGAGAAAATATAATCTTGACTACTATCTATATCAGTATTCCGTCTTTGCGTATTACAGAGTTATCTTCTCTTGGGAGAATTGGTTTGTGTGAGAAAATTGTGTCGTTTTCTCAAAAATTGATGACCTTATTCTCACAAACAAGTGACGTAACAATCAATATCTGCTCCCAAGAGAAGATAACTCTGCAATACGCAAAGACGGAATATAAGGTTAAAGAGAATGGCACCTGTCGGTGGCAAGCCAAATTAACATTTATTCAAGGAGCAATGTTGATTCTGAATTTCAGAAAACTTTATAAGATATCTTATATATAGTATATGAGGTATCTTATATAGAATATGAGGTATCTTATATAGTATATGAGGTATCTTATATAGTATATGAGGTATCTTAAATAGTATATGAGGTATCTTAAATTCTATATGAGATATTTTATATAAAATATAAGATATAAAGAAGAAGCCCTAGAAGTCAGAAAGGCCTAGCGGACGATCTGAAAAATTTATGTTTTTAGTCTATACGATATCTTATATTGAAATAAATGAGATGTTTTATATAAGATATCTCATATGCTGTTTAAGATATCTAATTTAATTTTCTGCATAAGATATCTTATATAGTATATGAGGTATCTTAAATTATGTATGAGATGTTTTATATAAAATATAAGATATCTTATATAGAAAAAAATGAGATGCTTTTATATAAGATATCTCATTTAATTTTCTGTATAAGATATCTCTTTTAATTTTCTGTATAAGATATTTTATATATTAATATAGTATTAATAGAATCTTTCACCCCCTTGGGTGTGAGATTCCACTATCTCACCCACAAGGGGGTGAATGATTCTTTTTCTCTTACTCGTTCTTTCATTGTGTATCATTTGCACAATGTAATGATAACGTTACATGCTAAATTCAGGGTTGACGTGACGTTGATGGATTGTTGACGTGACGTCATTGTATTGTTAAAGTGACGTCCGTCATGCCATTGTTAGGAATAGGGGAATCCCCCCGTCTCAACCCCAGGGTGAGACAAGGAAATCTCACACCGGTAAAAATGCGGATACACCTGTCCAGGGTAAGAGAAATGAGATATCTTAAATTCTGTATGAGATATTTTACATAAAATATAAGGCGTCTTATATAAAAATAAATGAGATCCTTTATATAAGATATCTCATATGCTGTATAAGATATCTCATTTAATTTTCTGTATAAAGTATCTTATATAGTATATAAGATATCTCAGGTATACTATTAAGATATTTCAGGCATACTATATAAGATATCTGAAATAATGTAAAATCTCGTCACTATTCCGTCTTTGTGTATTGCTGAGTTAGCTTCTCTCGGGAACAGGTAGTGATTGTTACGTCATTGGTTTGTGGGAGAAAATTACGTTGTTTTCTCAAAAATTGATGACGTTACTCTCACAAACAAGTGACGTAACAATCAATACCTGCTCCCAAGAGAAGATAACTCTGCAATACGCAAAGACGGAACAGATAAGATATCTTAAATAGGAACAGGATTTTAACAAAATGTCAAAAACCAAGTCTCCCCACCCGGAATCTCTAGAGAATCTAGTAATACTGTAGAATAGGCAGTATGGCTTGCTACCAACAAGTACTGGTGCCTGAAATAGCCGCCTCTGAAAGACGTGCTCCGAACATTTCTCAGGGGAGATATTAGTTTCCCAATTTCGCGTACAAAACTTCATTTTATAGAAGATATTTCATATCCTAATGAGATTTCAAATAAAGATTTATTTAAATAAGATATCTTATTTATATAAATTGATAAGATATATAATTTAATAAGATATCTTATTTATATAAATTAATAAGATATATAATTTAATAAGATATCTTGTATACTTAATATAATGATATCTCATTTAATTTCTATGTGTGACATCTAACTTATAGTATATAAGATATCTTTTATAATTGAAATCTAATTACCATAAATTTCCAAAAACACTTTTATTGACACATATTATTTTGCTTCCAGATGGAGATGTTGAAAACCTTGCAAACAATTTGTCTGCACTGACAATAAAAAGAGAAGCTGTCGAGGACAATGAGCTTCCAGAAAGTCCAACAAACCCGGAGAGCTCACCAAAGGGAGAGAAATCATCCCGTGATTACGAAACAAAGGAATCTGAGGTAAAAAAGGAAATTGTTGCCGAGCTTCCCCAGGAAGGTAGTGCATTCTTAACGCGGGGACCAACCAACGGCCACGCAACAACAAACAGTGTCCAGCACATGGGCTATAATAAAGCGTACGGCTTAGCTAACGCACAGACATTCAAAGACAAAAAACGGGGACTAGAAGACGATGGAAATGATCCTCCATTACGATACTTGAGACCAGTGGAAGACCAATATAGCTCCCTGACAAAGGATAAGAGTTCACTTGGAATGATGGTTGTGAAGTCGCCTAGTACAGATATACCGCAAATGAATTTCCCTTCTTTTAACCAGGATGACATCATTGAAATGGCTTACCAGGCTAATAACAATGGGCAGTTCAACATGTCTTGTCAGACGCACAGTTTTAACCATGGCCTGTTCTCTCAAACTGCCTTCCAGTCGCATCAGACCACGATGGGACAAACAGTCAACGGCAATATAAATGTAATGAACAACCAACAGCCCAGACCTAAGAGCATCGAACAGCAGCAGATGTATGGTCGATGTGAAGCCTATACCAGCGAATCAGAATCCGAGTCGGCCAAAAGTCCCTACTCTGATCAAATGTATTCACCCGATAGCTCAAGTGTCAAGTCTATCAATTCTCCTCCACCTTCAAACATGTCCAATGACAGTGGCATCATTGGGGATTTGACTGTAAACAGCCCCCTCGGAAACGCTTCACCGCAGTACGACACAGCTATACAGAATGGCTTCACTCAATGGGATGATCAGTCTCACCAAGGCTCTCCTGGACAAGTCTCTAACCATTCAATGGCCTCACCACCCCACATCAGTTACTCCCCGGGAATGCCACCGGCAGGATCTCCCATGATGCAACAAGCAGGGTCACCGATGATGCAACAAGCAGGGTCTCCCTTGATGCAACAGGCAGGATCTCCCATGATGCAACAGGTAGGATCTCCCATGATGCAACAAGCAGGATCTCCCTTGATGCAACAGGCAGGCTCTCCCATAATGCCATCAGTGTCCTCCTGCTTAGCTGCCAATGCCATTCCACAACAAAGCAGACCTAACACCATGGTGTCCTCACAACAGATCTGTGGGTCCCTAGGTATACCAAACCTGGTTCCTACCCAATCAAACTCTGGGGCCCCCCTGATGACCCCACAACAGTTAGTGAACAACCAAGTAATGGTAAGCTCTGTCCCCTACACTTCCCAAACTGGTGCTCCGTTGATGATGTCACAAATGCCTGGACAAATGGGGATGTCCCATACCGGACCATCCCTACCACACAACGTCACTGCTCAGTTAACATCGCAGCAGTTACAGATGCCCCCTATAACTATGGAACAAATGATGTCGGCCAATCGACAGCAGAATGTGCAGTACATGTCTTCACAGACAAACATGGCTGTTCCTCAGGTCAGCGCTTCACAACAACATTTGAATGATGAGCTGAACAAACAGATTGATGAAAAGGAACTGAGCTTCGTCATGGAGGTGCTGGCTGACGACATTATTGAATCTAATATGCAAAACAAGATGAAGAACCAGATCTGCAATAAAAGGATAATGGTACCCTCAGCAGCTCCCCAAGTCCATCAGAATATAGCCACCAGTCAACCAGTACAACCAATTCCCCAGAACAGGAACTTAATGCCTAGTAACAAACCGCCACAGAACATCCAGCCTGGGCCAAATGTCATGACAACAGTACAGACCAATCAACATCGTATTCCAGTTACCTTAGTAACAAACAACATGATTCCCGTGTCAGCTCCGATGCATATGAATTCAAAGTTGCAGGTGACGAAGGCTGCGACAACACAAGTTCTGCCGCAGCAACCTATTTCTCATGGTCAGATGGTGTTTATGCCACCTGGCAACCAGGTTCAGACAACAGCGAACACTCTACAGACAACGGGGAATGTGGTACAGCCACCGATGATCATTATCGTGCCGACGAACATGAATCAGACAACTCAGATCAAACCACAACCCACCAAGGTGTTAAAGAAGATTTTGCCGAAACCCGGTACAACCATACCCGACAGCTCTAAGCCAACGACCACAGCTCCGGCAATGAGTCGGAATCTAAACGAGACAGGAGGGCCTGGAGGTCGACCGGTCATCGCGAAACCTGGGCAGACTCAGCAAAGTAAGTCCGGTGTTATACCTTAATTTTACTTTCTATAGCAAATTAACTCTTTATATATACTGTTCCTGTCATTTTATTGGGTGTGTGTGGATGGGTGAGGAGGTATATACAAATACAGTGACCTTCCTATCCCATCCTGTCTCGTCCAGACAAGACTCATTGCTATGACATTATTCCTGAGCAACTTTTAATAAAAGTTTAATCATGAAAAGTATAAGAAAACCTCTGATGATTTTTTCTTTCAGGACCGTAGGTCAATGCCAAGGTCACATGCTGTTTATGGGTCAGCCAGGGGGCTAAGGGACGTACAAATCTTACAGACATTTTCTAGTTTCCTGTCATAATATATAAAAGAAGATATTATGTAATAATTTTTGAATTTTTTCCCCTTTAAAGCTCTCATGAGACAGAACATGCTGAATATGGCCCGTAGAACTGTAGCGGACATATCTAGGGACCGGCTCCGGTTCCAGGATGATGAAGGAGATACGTAAGTATTCCTGACCCAGAGTGTTGGATGCGAGATGTTTAATCAGTTACATTCTGTACCAGAAATTTATACTTTAATAAGGTATTTTACTTACAGTTTAACAAATTTAATTTTATTTAATTTTACAAATACTATCTAAGTTTCTAGCTATTAAACGAAATCTCATAAAAAAACATTGTGTGCTTTAATTTTCTAGCATTGTTAATATTGTTATGTATTGCTGTAGTAATTGGGGTTGTGATTCCTTCCAGATAATTTCCATTTATATAAACTCTTCATTAAATGAGATTTTTCTGATTATCCAGGTATCTTCATGTTGCTGTGTGTAAGACTGATGCCAGCATGGTCCAGGCGTTGATTGAACGACTTTGGCGGGAGAAGCTGGAGGTCATGATTGATGCCCCTAACAAGAAAAGACAGGTGAGTTTCCGTGTAAAGTAAACAATCAATAACAAACATGATAAATGGTCAGAAAGGTAAGAAATAGTTTTCTATTATAGGTGTAGGCCCTACATGAAAAAACAACCAGTATCAAAAGTATTCTACCATACAAAATTTATTTTCAGTTTTAGATTTAATTTTTCAGAGGTACATATTTGGAATTTGGTAAAACCATTCAATATACATGTATATGTTTATCATATATAACATTTTGATTTAAAATTCCATACTTTTGGTTCTATATGAAAAATGATGAATGTATGTAATATGTGTTTAAAATGTCCCAAAATTCTATAACAAATATACTGTGTTTGTATTGGTTACTATTTAATTTCTAGCTCAATCATGAGGTAAAGCTAGTATGAAATATAGAACAAAATGCACAGGAAATACCCAGCCTTGAGCATTATGGGAAAAAATCTGATATATCCCACAATTAAAAATATTGGTTTGTGTAATGTTACATATATAATAAAAATAACATTAACTCATTTACCCCATAAGGCACATTTGAACTCTTCCAATTCAAAGGCTGGAATATTTCATTATGAAATTTCAGGAGTGCATAAGTTAAAGTAGGAACTTGTGAAGGAAAAGAACATCATTTGTCACTCGAGTATCAGAATTAGAGGTTATTTGCAACTTAACTTCAGAAAAAAAGAAATACAATACTAGAGATTATCTCACATGCCTTGTGTATTTGGAATGATGTTAAAGTCAAACAGTCTTTATTTTAAAGTTTGTGGTATCATTTTGTCCCTGCTTTCTGTTCTAAGGTAATTTCAACACTCAGGAAATCTGTACTAGTGTTTTTGTTTCACTTTTTAAAACATTGACCAATGATTGTGGCTGTATTTTCTGTTTCTATTATTAGACTTACTTTCTATTTCTATTTTTAGACACCACTATACCTTGCTGTGGCAGCCAACCAGCCAATGATGGTAAACAGTCTGGTGGCTCGGAATGCCAATCCATGCTCTATGGCACAGGTACAGGCTACTTTCACTTTCACTTTTGAATCCGAGAATATTTGATAGAATTTCCAATATAGTTTTGAATGTATTGTAGCTCTAAAATTAGATTTCTGGTAGTTAATGTCGATTGTAAAAAACAGACAACAACACTGATTGATATACAGCCTGATCAATTTCCTGTTTTGTTTTTGATTTTGTTTTTACTGCAGATTTTGGAAATCTTGAAACCATTTAACATCTAATTTTAAAGAAATAGGTATGTCATTGACAGTATTCCGGAGGAGACTTACTGGTGTTCAGTAATAACTGTATATACTGTTTGTTCGACAGGTCTACTCTAATGATGGCAAGTCAAGAGAGGTCAAGGCCCCTCTCCATGTCGCCTCGTCCAACGGCCAGTCTTATCTCTCTACTCTCCAGGAACTTATTAAATCAGCAGCCATCAATCTCAATATTGTTAACTCTGAAGGTATGTACTGTTTTGATAATACAAGTTTGTATTACACAGAACTGTTGACTTGGGTTGAAGTCAATCTGCGTTTTGGTGGACTCTGAGCATATAGTGTTGTGATGTAGTTAGTTTTTTGGAGTAAAAAGTATACATGTAAGGGTTTCCTTTTGGTAAACTCTGACCTAGCCAACTTCTTTGTGATTTGAGCTTACACAGGTGATTTCAGCTCTTGGCACATGGAATTTGCGTACAGAATATTGCTGTCAGTGACTAGTATATCAACAGAGATAGTGGTTGTGTAGAAAACCCCACAAACCACCCAACTATCTGAGTATCATTTTGTTTGTGGTAAAATTTATGCTGCTGTTAATTGCAATGTGATGATCATAATAATTGTTACTTAGTGTAAGACTGGCTACCAGCCCCTAAGTTTTTATGAAGAATTTCCCAGCTGCATTTTTTACTACTAGCTTATGCCCCCCCCCTAGTTTAAACTTCGGAACAGACATGAAAGTGATCAAAATTATTAGAGTAAATTTTTTTAATCATTATATATTCTATAGACAAATTCCAGTCATACTAAGTGTATGATGTTATATTTGTGATTGTAATTGGTGATTTATTTTTCATTAGGACACACAGCTTTACACTGTGCTATCCTGGCTCATAGGCGTCAGAACAAGAACGGCGAGTTCATTGACAGCATCCCAATAATAGAGACCCTACTGAAGGCAGGAGCAGATCCTAACTCACAGGTAAACTGATCCTGATATACAACCATTTCTCTCTCTCTCTCGCCATAACACAACTTTCCTCTAAAAATATTCATTGGCCTGTATTCATGAAACCATTTGCATGCTAGCTCAAGTACTGATTTGTGCCTTTTGTTCCATTCATAATTTATAATAAGATCTTATTTTGCGAATGATTTCGAAAAAAACGAGTGACTTAAAGATCAATACTGTTTTCAATGTTTACATTTTCCTTTCTGATTGTTTAACATGATTTAAGTGAGTCACCAGAAATTTGGTTTGAGCACAGATTCAAGCTTGAGCATGAGAACGGTTTCATGAAAACCGGCCCTGTATCCCTCTGTATTATGTACTAACAGGAATAATGTCATTGGTCAGATAGAAAGTTCAAGAAAAATATGCTTTTGTTTACTTTGTGGATGTTTGGCTGTTAAAGACATTTTTAGCAATGCTTTCTTGTCACTTTGCATATGTTTATGGTTAAATTTGTTGAAATCATATTTGAGGGGACTGAAGGAGTTTACGTAATCTTTCTATGTCAACAGTATCCACAGGATAACGTTCTAGGGTATTAATTGGATTCAGCCTGTTACAAGGGCACTGTATTTGTCTCTCTCCATGTTCATACAAAAAAAATGTAGGGTGCTTCAGATTTATGTCCCTTGATGCATAAGAAGCAAACGTTTTTACAAAACAGTAGACCAATTAAGTCTTATAATATTCAACAACTTTACTTTTTCAGGACAAGAAAAATGGCAAGACACCACTGATGTATGCGATTGAAAAACGTGACATCGCTCTGGTGGAGAGGATGCTGAATATGTTTGACTCGGGAGCAAAGCTCCGTAACATCATCAAGTCTCAAACGTTTGACGGCAGTACGTGTATCAAGATAGCCGAAGGTCTCAAGGCCGAGTTTCAGCCCGACATCTGGCAGCGGCTTATAAACACACTCAACGCCGCTCTCAACGGGTGATATGTGGTGTAGTGTGGACATAAAGTTGTCTCCTCGGTAGCTAAAGAGATGGACTTGAATATGGGGACAGTGTCACATGTGGAGTTATCTCCCTTCTATCTCATAACTTGGACACTTTGTAACATAACATTGGTTTTGAAGAGATAGGCTTCATCATGGCGATGGTTGTCGCCAGTTGTTCCCCTTGTTTCCGTCAATAAGATCCATCAACTCTTATAAGTGAGAGTGATCCGGTTTGAGCTAGTCGGACCATGGTGGTCACAAACATTTCAGTAACTGTGTCGATCAGGTATCTTACAGTGTATTCATTCTGACAAATATGTGCATGACAGAGGTTGACACAGAAATGTAACTGGTTCCAGGATACCCATATTGTAAAAACCTGTAGGAATTCTGCAGACATTCTGAGCGTAACGAGACAGAAATTTAGTGCTTTGGCTGATCAGAAGTTTGATACAGTGTTACCTTGTTTACCAGGACATTTTGTTTCATGGAAAAATTGTTTCTTGAAAAAGAACAGGATTTTTTTTGAGTTTTTGAAAAATTACTAAGAATCGGATTATCCAGAACACCCGAAGCAGGTTCAGTTTTACAGTGCTTCAATTTATTGATGTGTATGTAATGTAACGGTATCGAAATCTGAAGTCAAAAGGCTAACTGCTTTAATTGTGCACTGAAATCTCAACACACTTGGAAGAAATTACTCAAAGTCTTAGTGAAACAGTATTTGTCTGAACAGTTAGTATTATCTTTTGCCACTATGTCCATGTGTATAACTTTTGCCACTATGTCCATGTGTATAACTTTTGCCACTAGGTCCATGTGTAAAATAATACCAGTCTAAAAGTTAGATATTGTAATGTTTATTTGTCATAAATTGTATTGATATTTTGAACTATAAAGAGCTCATGTGACATTTTTGAAATATGAAATCTCATAATTTGAGATGAGACCCTATGATGGTAAATATGTTATTTTCTATAAATTTTGAAGTCTTCTAATTGAGATGGAGAGCTCCACTGTTGAGTTTTGGAGATTTTGACTTCTATTTTAAATATGTTTTATTGTAACTTATATACAATGGGAGTTTGGCAGAAGATAAGCAACTTATATTAAGTCCTTTCCCTGAGATTTTAACTGTGATAGATGTAGTGCTAAGATCTCTTGCCCCAAACTGTTATAAATATTCTAAAGGAGATAAATTACATACAATTCACATGTACAACGTTAACATGGACAGTAGAATATGACTCAATATGTAAAATTGATTTTATCATCAATATAGTTAATACTTGGTTTTACCTCATGAGGTAAGAAGGTTGGGGCTGTGGTAGGAAGTATTTGAAATAGATTTTATGTCTCTGTGCCATATATATATATATTTATGAAAAGTTGTATTTTGTGAGAGACTTTTTAAAATTTTCGTACATATTGTGTCTCAGAATCTGTATCATTGATGTCGTGAAGGATCAAGTATAACCTCATTTTTTTACCATTGTAGAATCTTTCCGGTGTGGATCACAACTTTTGTCTGTAGATTATAATTTGTGTAAATATATATTGTTGCTATAGTAACTCCGTTTATTTTGATGTAGCAGCAGTTTGATAGTTTCTGCTATGAAACGGACTAAAACCTGTACAGATCGTTGTTACGGTGAGAGTAGTACAAGTTGTTTAGGTTGTTATGGTAACGGATGCTGCAATGATAAAAGGCTAACCAACACAGACTGAACCAAGAAAAGTTTCAAGTGAAGAAAAAAATCAAAATTGAAATATCAGTATTATGTTAACCTATATTATGCTAACAGCACAATGAGTAAAGTTATTATTTATTTATTTTAGATTAAATAAAATTGCAAAATACTTTTTTTTGCATCACTATCTTTTTAACATTTGTTGTTGCAGCTTAAATGAAGATAAAAATAGATTCTAAATATTTTATTTGAAATGAAAAAAATATGAAAATTATGATTTTGTTCTGTTATGGTATATTATATTATATTATATATTATAAAGTTGTAATTTATTAAAGATTTTAATGTTAAAGCTTGAAAGTAAAATATTTCACCAACAATTATAGTGTTCAGATGTTCAAAACGAAATGAACATTTTTGTCAATAACAACAGAAAATAACTTTTTTTTTATATGACATTCTCCCATAGGATCACTTCAAACCTATTTCTGTTATAATTACAACATGATCAGTCCATCAACACAGAAGGTCATTACAATGTTTAGGGCCAAATAAGGTCAATAAAACATCGAAAATTTCATCAAAAAGAGTAAAAGGAAAAAGACAACACCACTTGAAAAGTAAAAAAGTGGCTACAGTTAGTCAGTTTCTAGATGTTCTAGAATTGCATAGATATTTACTGCTTTGAAAAGATATTTTAAGATTTGTTATATTGTTATAGAAATTATCTTATGTTGGCTCATGGTCAGTGTAATGTGATAATGAATATATTTCTATTTTGAGTATATGTTTCAAATTATATGTTTTGTTTTAAATATATTTTATTTCAAAAATATTTCTATTTTAAACCTTTATTGTACCAGAACACTGGTACAGAAGCAGTTGCTATGTAATTAAGTGCCTTTAAACAATGGCAAGTTTAAGTATTTTACATGATATGTTCCACAATGGTCTACGGATATGTTGATTGCTTCTTGTTTTATTAGATGTCTGAAACAATCTTTATTAACAATTTCACCACCGTAGACCATAATGGACTCATCCAGATCAAAGCATGGAAGAGTTTACTGAAGTTACACAGGGTTGAACGGGTTAATAATACAACGTATTAACATGTGTGTCCTACACTTTCACCCATTTATAACTGTAGACCGCAATGAGCTCATCCAGATCAAAGCATGGAAGAGTTTACTGAAGTTACACAGGGTTGAACGGGTTAATAATACAATGTATTAACATGTGTCCTACACTTTCACCCATTTATAACTGTAGACCACAATGGACCCTTCCAGATCATTGCATGGTAGAGTTTACTACAATAACCTAGGGGTGAAAGGGTTAAAGTTTGAATTTCTTAAATGTTTCACAGACGTGAATTAGTGTTGTTATTGACATTGATAAGTATCACTGTGTGATATATATAATATACATGTATACAATAATGGTGTACATTTGATAAGGGTGTACAGAAATGAGGCAAACACATCTTTCTCGGTTTTTGTCAGGGTTTTTTATTTTGTCAAGAAAAATATAACTTTTCTTTTTTTGATAAATTTATATCATTGCACTCGCAAAAAGTCATTACAGGTAGGTGTTAATTTGGGATTTTTTGGGGGATGGGGCAAAAATGATCTGTTTACTTTATCCCTCCCCCAACGAAACATATACTTTTTGCATCTTCAGCGGAAAGAAGAAAAATATCTAGATTTAATATCATAGATTTATGCTCCATATTCTATTGTTTTAGTTAGTGTTTAAGAACCACTCGCCTGTAGGCTATCCAACAATATATAAACGTATGTATTAGTCACGTTTGTTAACTTAACAAAATAAAGTCGATGTTTTAGATATATACAATGGCAGCAGATTTCTATGTAAATACACATGCTATGTAAAATAAAGCAGATGTTGAATTTTTTACTTGTTTTGTTGTTAAGTGTTTTATGCATTATCCTGTCTTCAGAGTGTGTTGATTTTTTTTAAAAGATGAACATCACCAAAGAATATTTGTGTATTTTTTTAAATACAATAAATGACAGTGAAAGTAACAATCACTATGTCGGACAAATCCCTAGTAAACCTTGAAACGTAGGAGAATTACAGTAACTAGGCTGTTGGCTTGCTAGTCTGGAGAATGAAACGTAGGAGAATTACAGTAACTAGGCTGTTGGCTTGCTAGTCTGGAGAATGAAACGTAGGAGAATTACAGTAACTAGGCTGTTGGCTTGCTAGTCTGGAGAATGAAACGTAGGAGAATTACAGTAACTAGGCTGTTGGCTTGCTAGTCTGGAGAATGAAACGTAGGAGAATTACAGTAACTAGGCTGTTGGCTTGCTAGTCTGGAGAATGAAACGTAGGAGAATTACAGTAACTAGGCTGTTGGCTTGCTAGTCTGGAGAATGAAACGTAGGAGAATTACAGTAACTAGGCTGTTGGCTTGCTAGTCTGGAGAATGAAACGTAGGAGAATTACAGTAACTAGGCTGTTGGCTTGCTAGTCTGGAGAATGAAACGTAGGAGAATTACAGTAACTAGGCTGTTGGCTTGCTAGTCTGGAGAATGAAACGTAGGAGAATTACAGTAACTAGGCTGTTGGCTTGCTAGTCTGGAGAATGAAACGTAGGAGAATTACAGTAACTAGGCTGTTGGCTTGCTAGTCTGGAGAATGAAACGTAGGAGAATTACAGTAACTAGGCTGTTGGCTTGCTAGTCTGGAGAATGAAACGTAGGAGAATTACAGTAACTAGGCTGTTGGCTTGCTAGTCTGGAGAATGAAACGTAGGAGAATTACAGTAACTAGGCTGTTGGCTTGCTAGTCTGGAGAATGAAACGTAGGAGAATTACAGTAACTAGGCTGTTGGCTTGCTAGTCTGGAGAATGAAACGTAGGAGAATTACAGTAACTAGGCTGTTGGCTTGCTAGTCTGGAGAATGAAACGTAGGAGAATTACAGTAACTAGGCTGTTGGCTTGCTAGTCTGGAGAATGAAACGTAGGAGAATTACAGTAACTAGGCTGTTGGCTTGCTAGTCTGGAGAATGAAACGTAGGAGAATTACAGTAACTAGGCTGTTGGCTTGCTAGTCTGGAGAATGAAACGTAGGAGAATTACAGTAACTAGGCTGTTGGCTTGCTAGTCTGGAGAATGAAACGTAGGAGAATTACAGTAACTAGGCTGTTGGCTTGCTAGTCTGGAGAATGAAACGTAGGAGAATTACAGTAACTAGGCTGTTGGCTTGCTAGTCTGGAGAATGAAACGTAGGAGAATTACAGTAACTAGGCTGTTGGCTTGCTAGTCTGGAGAATGAAACGTAGGAGAATTACAGTAACTAGGCTGTTGGCTTGCTAGTCTGGAGAATGAAACGTAGGAGAATTACAGTAACTAGGCTGTTGGCTTGCTAGTCTGGAGAATGAAACGTAGGAGAATTACAGTAACTAGGCTGTTGGCTTGCTAGTCTGGAGAATGAAACGTAGGAGAATTACAGTAACTAGGCTGTTGGCTTGCTAGTCTGGAGAATGAAACGTAGGAGAATTACAGTAACTAGGCTGTTGGCTTGCTAGTCTGGAGAATGAAACGTAGGAGAATTACAGTAACTAGGCTGTTGGCTTGCTAGTCTGGAGAATGAAACGTAGGAGAATTACAGTAACTAGGCTGTTGGCTTGCTAGTCTGGAGAATGAAACGTAGGAGAATTACAGTAACTAGGCTGTTGGCTTGCTAGTCTGGAGAATGAAACGTAGGAGAATTACAGTAACTAGGCTGTTGGCTTGCTAGTCTGGAGAATGAAACGTAGGAGAATTACAGTAACTAGGCTGTTGGCTTGCTAGTCTGGAGAATGAAACGTAGGAGAATTACAGTAACTAGGCTGTTGGCTTGCTAGTCTGGAGAATGAAACGTAGGAGAATTACAGTAACTAGGCTGTTGGCTTGCTAGTCTGGAGAATGAAACGTAGGAGAATTACAGTAACTAGGCTGTTGGCTTGCTAGTCTGGAGAATGAAACGTAGGAGAATTACAGTAACTAGGCTGTTGGCTTGCTAGTCTGGAGAATGAAACGTAGGAGAATTACAGTAACTAGGCTGTTGGCTTGCTAGTCTGGAGAATGAAACGTAGGAGAATTACAGTAACTAGGCTGTTGGCTTGCTAGTCTGGAGAATGAAACGTAGGAGAATTACAGTAACTAGGCTGTTGGCTTGCTAGTCTGGAGAATGAAACGTAGGAGAATTACAGTAACTAGGCTGTTGGCTTGCTAGTCTGGAGAATGAAACGTAGGAGAATTACAGTAACTAGGCTGTTGGCTTGCTAGTCTGGAGAATGAAACGTAGGAGAATTACAGTAACTAGGCTGTTGGCTTGCTAGTCTGGAGAATGAAACGTAGGAGAATTACAGTAACTAGGCTGTTGGCTTGCTAGTCTGGAGAATGAAACGTAGGAGAATTACAGTAACTAGGATGTTGGCTTGCTAGTCTGGAGAATGAACGTAACACATGTGATTACACGTGTACAATTCGGTAATAGATACAGAATGCTTAGCATGATAAGCTAAAGCACTTTCTTAAGTCGACAAAAGAAACAAGAATGTTTATCCAACGGAGACTGCTATTTATAACTTTTTAAATCAAAGACACACGTCTGGTATAAGTAGCAAGTCTAAATAAAATATACAACATTTGATATAGGGCCCTATCTAGCTAACATAAGCCACTCTAAAGCGCTTTACAGTACATATAGATAAACAATTATATACAGTCAACACAATTAGCATATATATTAATCAATACAATATTGAGGAATTCGCAGGAGCTGCCTTATCAGGCGCTAACTACTAGTCCTATGTCACCTGGCTAATATCTCCTTATGTGTGTATGCCTGTGTGTGTGCTGGAGATGTATTGTGTTCTGTTTGTATTGGGACAGTGCTTCCAACGGTATCATTAATAGTGCCACCTCACTTGAATGCTACAGCACAAATACCGCAACACCCACCCCAGACCATTTTATACTCCACCTGGGTTGTTGGAGTTGTGTGGACAGGAGAAAAACAATTTCTCTAATATTCGCCTGCTTGGAAGGCCGGAGTGTTAACCACTCGACCAATCTGCCCATAAAGTCTAGTCGAAATCATACGGCAAAGGAACACATTTTGAAACAAAAAATAATGCCTTAATTGGGAGATTATATTTTATTCAGAATTCATTGAACACACAATATTATTTTATATAAAATTAAACTATTTTGTTTTGGGTATGTCAAGTTACAATATTTGCTAGCCCAAATTCCACCATGATCTGATCTAAGACAGACTCTTTTG